GGAAAAAAAGGGGGAGGGGGAAAAAGAAGGGAGAGTGGGGGGGGGAATTTTGGGGGGGGGGGGGGGTGGTTTGGGGTTTTTACCAAGGGGGCGCGGGGGGGAGGCGGCTTCTTTGGTTCTGAAAACCCACACGAAACACTAAGTGATTTGCTCTCAGGGAAATTCATTCCTTGAACACAAAAAAACCATAAAACAAACTATTTGTGTGTTTACCTCTTTCTCTACTCAGTATTAACTGCTTACAAATTTATCAGGGAAGACCCCTTTCCTCCCTCTTATCTCCCCCATCCCCACCCCAGTCACACACCCTACACCACACAATCCACATACACATTTAAATCATGGGCCTGGGCGGATACCGTATAAACTGTATACCGGGGTATTTGGAAATAGCCCTATGATGATTTTCAGTACATATTTTAAAAATTAAACCCCTTTTTTGCCTTAAAATTTATGGATTGAGAACCAGTTAAGGGTTAATACGAGCAGATACATTTTTGTTTTTCAAAACTCCTGCAGCTGGTCTGGGTATGTAATACATTGATGGGATAAAACCCCTCGTGGTGGCTGTGGGGAAGGGAGTAACAAGGAATTGTTATCATTTTTTTTGGTGCTTATGACCTGACCTAGCCACATCACATAATCTCGGGGCCAGGGAGGAGGAAAATGATAAATTTTTTAAATGCGTGGTTGAGAATGGTTATGGATACTGTTTAAAACCATGTTTAAGTTTATTGAATGTTTTATATGTGTTTTTGAATGAAAAAGGAAAAACGGGGAAAAGTTTGAACTTTGTACTTCCGTATAGCCCGGGATAGTGAATATAGTCAATACAGAATGTGATTGTTCTTTAATGTACGTTGTACATAATTTTCGATCACGCCCTAAAAAGATACAGGGCCCCATTAAGAAGCGCAAGTGCCCCCTTGAGTACCCAAACATTGATATGAAAATGTTTTTCTTCACATAAGAGGAGAAACATGTAGTTGACTACTTTTGTGTCTGTATAAAAGGACCCCCCGGTTCGGGAAAAGCATTGTCAGGGAGAAAGCTCGCTTTTTTATGCAAATAATAAAAGTTTTAAATTTTTTTTTATTACAAGCTCCATCCTTGAGAATATTTTGAGTTGCTATTTTGATAAAATATTTCTAGACATATTTGGCGGCTTCCAGGATTGAAAACAGGGGCCAGAGACGGTGTAAATCTGTAGCTTGAACGCTTGGACGCGGGCTTTTAATGGGGTAAGCCAAGTTTTACTTTATATATAACTTTTTGGTTTCGTCCGGGGCCGGCTACGCAAAAATACCAAGTAGGTCTCCCCAAAATTTTTAAGAACCGAAAATTAGAGACGGGATTTTTGAATTTAAAAAAACATGTGGATGTCCTTGTGTTCGTCTGAACCGTCTTTTTAAATCATTTGATCATCCTCTGTGCTTTGTCTGGGTATTTCGGCAGGGGGGTTGTCCATCTTTTGGCGATCAGACAATAAAATTTAAGTCCTGCGAATACCGTATAACGTGTCGAGGGAAATGTATCGTTTTAGGGTGCTTAGGTAGGCGAATCCTGTGTAATACCCTTATTTTTCTGTTCAGGAAGTGTATCGAAAAAAAAAGGGCAGAATTTTCAGGTCGTTAGGAATGCGAGTAGAAAATCCAGGTGTGTCGAGGAGTGATCACCTAGGGGGCTAAAAAAATAGAAAACCGGGGATACCGTTTTGGGGAGTAAAAATTTGCGCTCCAGAGGGCTGAAAGGGGGGTGGCTAGCTAAATTTGGGGCCCACGGTTTTCCCCTCTAAAGAGGAATTCATTTTAGAGGTCGCCGGGGGAGGGGGGTGCATCGATCCTGTGTGTGGGTGAGCCAACGTTAGGCAGGGTCGATCAGGGGTAAAAAAGTTAGGTCATCCTGAGTAGGTGAACGGGTTAAATAGCCACAAGGGCTTCAAAATATAGAGAAAGTGTTAAAGAGTAGGTCTGCTCATCTCGTATGGGTGAGTGTTTGCTGGGCGGCTGTGAGTCATTCAAATGTCTGATTCATTTGGGCACAAGTGGCTGCTCATCTGTGTGAGTGAGAATAATAAGAAATCCTGCAAGTAAAAATAGCCTTTCTGTAAGGAAAGGAAATATATTTGAGGTCGTTTGAATGAAGCTTCTGTCTGATGGAGAAAGGGCGTGCCCAATCTCACATTAGGAAAGAGAAGAATAAATGTGTGCGTGGATATTCATTGACCAACTGAGTGTAGAAAATTCACGTTACCAGGAGGGGGTAGAATAAATCCTGTTGGAGGAACAGGTCACGTGTACCGTGTGATCATCTGACGTCTATGCATTGTATTTTGGATCAATCTTTTAGGGTATGTTTCTGACATTATATTTGGAAACTTTAGAGGTGATGTAGTATTATGATAAATTGACTACAGTAAAAATTCCAAATTTGGGCCCTTTGATAGAATAAAATATTCCTGTATGTTATACAAATAGTAATTAAGCGCGTTTGAGAACAACATTATATAAATATGGAATAAGAGTGGTATAATGGTGTAAATGAGTCGCACTCTGAAGTTTGAATGATGAGATATAGAGGTGTGTATGATCATTATATATACACGTTGGAATAATAAGCTTTTCTTGTAAATGATATCTTGGAGTTTCGTACAACAATGCCTGTCATAGAATTTTGTAAGATCAGGGAATAGTGACCAGCATATACGATTCTGGGAGGATTCTATGACTGAGGGGAAGGATTTGGGTAATTTGTTGTTCGTTCCGCTGAGACTAGATTGTGATTAACTGATTTGTGGCAATAAAGAATTATTAGAAACATGAATGGTTTGGTTGATGTGAATATATTAGAAAATAATGAATTTTATGGGAGTGTAATTTATTACAAGTCATTGGATAAAATTATAGGTGTTGACTTGCACGCCCAAACACGTAGACGTACGTGGGGATTGGAGACAGTACATAGAGCATGTGGTGGAATTAAGCATTATAATAAACTATCCAACCTCAGCCATTGGGTAGCATTGTTGTCTTTTGTGTGTGTCTGTGCTTGTGTCTTTGCAGCAGTAAATCCGAGCTTCCCTATGGGTAGGCTGATAGAAGGACACTCTTCGCAGACCGATGTCGATAGATTGAGAGGGACTCTGGCTGATCCGGAGACCCTAGTGATGGAAGAAGGTTAACAGCTAAAAGTGACCATACATCATCGTCCAGGTTACACCAACAGCGGTACGGATAGAGGGGAGCGTGATCGGGTATCATCTAAACCATTGTACCAGAGTGAGGGAACTGATGACTAGGAGACCACCGAGACTTCCAAGACCTTCCAGACCACCGAGAGATTCCAGACCGCCGAGAGATTCCAGACCACCGAGAGATTCCAGACATTCAAGATGTTATTACAGATGGTGTTGTAATGCATAGTAGAAATAATCCGGTCCAGAGCAGTGTGAACCTCAAAAAATAAATAAATAAATAAAACTCTACCCGGCTGAAGAGGAACAACAAAGGCGGTGAAGACGTTCCTGTCCGACACCACCTCTGCCAGGAGACCTGAATCCAGCATCAAATCAAAGCAATCAATTGCCTTCTCTTTTGTGCCTTTTCTCTCAAGAATGTGACAGGAGTCCATGTGGAGTGAGCAGGAAGAGAGAGGTCTATGCCAATGCAACGTTCTTCGTAGTTTGGGTATACTGGTTTGCAAATTGACAAAACAGAATGATGGTGGAGGTGGGGCGGCTCAGGTGTGACATTGGAATTGGGACATTGCCATGGGCAATCCAAGATGAACTATGAAGCTATCTGAAGAACATAATGAAGACGCCAGAAGATTGAGTGCCGGTAGAGTAAGGGAGTGTTAGTTAAGGTAGTATGTTGATTAAGGAGGTATTATACACTGCTAAATTTATAGTAATTTAGACTAGGAATGCATTAAGATAATGATCTGTTGTAATTATTGTTATGAGGAAATTAATGCTAGAATTATGATAGTATAAATATACATTCTGCCAGTGTCAATATGTGCCAAGGTGAGAGTTTTAACTTTGAATGATGGAACCAAGGTGACTAACTAAGAATTGTCATTCTAAATTTGTTTTGGGTAATTAATCTGATAATGACTATGAATTATAAGGTGACTGATTGATTTGAATAAGTTATTAATATGTTAATAACTAATGATGTTGACATTGCAATTAATGGATTAGATATTGATATTGATTATTTTGATTGTTATAATAATTGTGATATGGGTAAAAAAGGTTATGTAAGCTAAAGATGTTGACACTATTCTTAACATGTCCTAGATATTATGGTTAAAACAAAGTTGCATTTAATTCTTATATATTTTTTAATGTGTTAGGATACTACCACGTATATTGGAAATACAACAAAACAAAAAAGGTGAGCAATGGTTACAAAGCTCAACAGCAACAATTGGAGGTTAGCTTAGAGGGAAACCTTCAAGACTTGTAACCAATACCTGACTGGGCTCCTTGTCCTCATCAGGATGGGTCAGACAATGAGGAAGATACATTGGTCTGAATATATATTCTTATAAACATGTAACCACAGATGGCAAGGCTAAGAATAAGTACAGTGGGGAGAACAAGTATTTGATACACTGCCGATTTTGCAGGTTTTCCTACTGACAAATCTAAAACAAAAATCCAGAAAATCACATTGTATGATTTTTAAGTAATTAATTTGCATTTTATTGCATGACATAAGTATTTGATACATCAGAAAAGCAGAACTTAATATTTGGTACAGAAACCTTTGTTTGCAATTACAGAGATCATACGTTTCCTTGACCAGGTTTGCA